ATCAGGCTCTTCTCAACAAAGGCTTTACAAGAAGTGATTCCGATCACTCCCTTTTCACACTCACGCGTCCCACGGGTATTGTTGTTCTTTTGGTTTATGTAGATGATATAATTCTCTCGGGAGATGATGTTGCTGGAATTCAAGATACTAAACTATATTTGAGTCATGTTTTCGATATTAAGGACCTTGGTTTACTGAAATACTTTCTTGGTATTGAGATCACTCGTACTTCTAATGGCTTGTTTTTGTCACAGAGGAAATATATATTAGATATGTTAACAGAGACAGGTAAACTTGGCGCCAAACCAGTGAGGACGCCAATTGAAGAACACTTCAAGGATCAATGCGAGGGGGAACCATTCAACGACCCAGAACGATACCGTTGTATCGTAGGTAAGCTCATCTACCTCACTATTACACGTCCTGACATTAGCTTTGCTTTCCATCAGGTCAGTCAATGGATGCATTCTCCTAAGACGAATCATTGGCACATGGTGGATCGAATCCTCAAGTACCTCAAAGGAACTCCAAACAAGGGACTCTGCATGGACAAGAACCGACATACCGAGTTCGTTGCCTATTGTGACGCGGATTGGGTCGGTGATAGGACGGATCGCAAGTCTACAACGGGCTATTGCACATTCATCGGAGGGAACCTGGTCATGTGAAGGAGCAAGAAGCAAAATATGGTGGCACGTTCAAGCGCGGAGGCCGAATACAGATCAATGGCGAACACAACGAGTGAGGTAGTTTGGCTACGTCAACTTCTCAAAGACCTCGGAGTGGAGACAAGGACGCCCACAAGACTACACTGCGACAACCAAGCCGCAATCCACATTGCAAACAACTCGGTCTTCCATGAGAGAACCAAGCACATCGAGATGGATTGTCACTTCATCCGTGAGAAAATCGCACAAGGGCTCGTCTTGCCAATTTTTACCCGGAGTCACGACCAACTTGCTGATTTTCTCACCAAAGATACAAGCTCCTATATCCTTAACAATTTTCTCGTCAAGATTGACCTCGTTGAATGTAACCGATCAATCTTGAGGGGGAATGTTAGCGAACATAAAGAACAAGAAGTTGTGGAACTCAATGGCCAACACAATAACGAACAAGAACTACACTCGGAACACGAACAAGAGTGGGAAACAAGAAACCAGAAGAGGAAAGAAGGCAGTCTCGGATAGTCCCGGATGCAATCAAATCGACACAAGGAAAGAAGACATTTGTGTTTGCCCTGTATTTGCTAATTTACCATATATCGTATTAGACAATATTATATTGCCATATCATAATTATTTAGCTGTTATGTTCGTCTAGGTTAAAAGCACATGTACAGAACACATACGAATAGAATCAATAGATAATTGAACTTGTTTTCTACTTGTCAACCTTTTCTTCTCTGTTTTCTTCATAATATACGTTCTAGATTTTTTTTTGATAATATGTAATTTACCAAGGGTGGGATTCGAACCTGGGTGGAGCACTCTTTGCGCATACCCACTTACCAGTTGAGCCAACCACTCTTGGTAATATACGTTCTAGGTTAATAAAAAAACAAAATATAAATGGATATATATATATATATATATATATATATATAAATAGTCTTTTAATATTTTTTTTTATAATATGTGATTGTCAGAATTCGAACTCTAAAGTCCAAAAAAAAGGAAGAGAGTTATTTCTGTCATGCAGTAGGGCATTGGTATTGGGTTTCCTGGGATCTCATGAGCGAATCTAATTCCTAAGAGATCGATTCTAGGGTTTGCGCAGCGGATATAAAACAAAAATTTTAATG